TAAAGAAGTTTCTCCTCACATTGAGGTGGAATGTGCTCACTTAAACCCATTATTCTTTGTTCTATTGCTGGGCACCACTGAGAAGAGATTATCCCCTTCCCCTTGACACCCACCCCTCAGATATTTCTCTATGGTCATAAGGTTCCCTCTCAGCTGTCTCAAGGCTGAACAGCCCCAGGTGCCTTCCAGCCCAGCTCATTCTATGTGATTCTATGAATCTGCGATTCTGTGTTTCTGCAATTCTGTGTTTCTGCGATTCTATGTTTCTGTCGTTCTATGTTTCTGCGATTCTGTGTTTCTGCGATTCTGTGATTCTGCGATTCTATGTTTCTGTCATTCTATGTTTCTGCGATTCTGTTATTCTGCGATTGTATGTTTCTGTGATTCTGTGTATCTGCGATTCTGTGTTTCTGCGATTCTATGATTCTGCGATTCTATGAATCTGCGATTCTATGAATCTGTGATTCTATGTTTCTGTGATTCTGTGTGTCTGCGATTCTGTGTTTCTGCAATTCTGTGTTTCTGTGATTCTATGATTCTGCGATTCTGTGATTCTATATTTCTGTGATTCTATGTTTCTGTGATTCTATGTCTCTGTGATTCTATGATTCTGCGATTGTATGTTTCTGTGATTCTATGATTCTGCGATTCTGTGATTCTATGATTCTGCAATTCTATGTTTCTGTGATTCTATGAATCTGTGATTCTATGTTTCTGTGATTCTGTAATTCTCTTCACAACACACAAGGTGGGTGAGTGCCTGCACGTGCTTGCAGGTCCTGCGAGAGCTGCCTTTACACAGCACCCAGCTCCCACGTGGCTGCGCCTCTTCCCTGAGTAGGTTGATAAAATCCTGAGAAAGGAAAAGATCAGACAACGGGGTGTCTGGAAAACGTGGTGAGAAAAGCTCAAAATAGAGTTAACACCTTCAGGTCACTATTTTTAGAACACAAGGAGCAGCCACAGTGAAAAGAAAGGGGAAGCTTTAAGCTATTTTTACAAACTACAGAAAGGCAAAGAGCTCACACTGCAAAGAAACCGTCTGCAACAGCTCATCTGAACCCTGTGCTCCGTGGGTGGTGTCCCTGCTCGCTTGTAAAGAGCTCTGGTATGTGCCAGTGCCAGGACACAGCCCTCCCACTCGAGACTTTCTCAAAAACTTGGATTCAAATTAACACTTTCTGTAACACCTGGAAAAGCCACAGCAGAAAGTCACCTTAGAAATAAGCATATCATGCAGCAAGTCAGAAGACTTAGCATTCATCATGTAAAAACTTGTCTGTTTAATGGTGTTTCTCATATATCTTGGTTGTTTGTTTTTTTTTTTAGATCTGGAAAGGACAGATGTAGAGCTATTAGAATTGTTGCTGTCTTAAGTCTGATACACACGATCTTAAGTCTGATACACACTATCTTACCTCACGGTGCATGATCCAGCCCCAAACAAGTGAAGTACTGCCTGCAACAGTTTTGTTTTCACATCTATGTAACTACAATATTAAAACATCCATTTTGCTTGCCTAGGGAACAAGTGCATTTTATGTGCTCACTTAAGCCAGCGTGCCGTTTCACAGGCAATCCAAAGCTGTCACTGATAAGTACAAGACTATATAAAACCTTCATTTACTTTTTATGTCTTTGCTGTTGTCTCCTTTTTGATGCTGTCTTGCTTGTCTTCTGTTTATGGTGCAAAGCATCAGGCACCATTCCTCTGCAGAAATACAGACCCTCCTGAAACATGGACACTTCTAGCTATAACCAACACTCGGGTAAAAAAATGTTTTGTGCAGAAACACCTACTAGGCTACACAGAAAAAATGGCTGTGACATCAGCTTGGTATCTTCACGTCAGGATAATATCTACACTGCATGGATAACAGGTACAGCACTAATGGCACTTAATAACAAAACTCTGTTGAAACTACCTTGCTCTGCTTGGCTTTCTTCCTGTTTGCGGGTGCATCATGCCCTGCACACCCCCAGCACATCACCCCTGCACGCTCGAAGGCAGGGTGCACAGGAAGGTCAGTTTAATTCCAAGGGGACTTGCTGAGGTAGTAACGCAGCCTCCTCTTAGTTACCCTCATGGGGGACTTCCCGTACTGCGACATCTTCCCGTACGTTAATCCCTTTCCAGCACACCTCTGACACCCAGCTCCACACCGGAGCTAAATCCCATGGAGGATGTGGTCCAGCTCCTCGTTTGTAGGTGGTTTCATGCCACCTCCCTTGGCTGTGGCATCTTCCAAGTGCCTGAGCACCCACAGCTGCGGGGAGACGCTGATTCATCGGCTCCGCATAGGAAGATGATGCTCTAATCCTCCTCACTTCGACAGGACTAGAAAGGCACCGGCCTTTCCGTGATGTTGTTCCATCAGTTAGATGCTTTTTTTTTTCCCGCAACGGGCCTCTGGCTGCAGCTATGCTGGACTTATGCCTGGTTCCTGGTGAGAAAGTGCCATCCCGTGGCTAAGTGTGAAATCCGTGCTGCTTCATCGCTGAAAATAAGCCTCATGCAAACCCACCTCAGACAACTGTAACTCCTGTCCCACTGCACAGATGTGCTGCAGCAAAGCCAGGCCAGCTCCCACACCTTCGTAATTTTCTGCCTTCCTCCTAGTTCTACAGGGACACTTAGCTTTTATTACCCCTTCATTATTATTCTTTGGGCAACAATTATCGTTATGTTCCACTGTTAGCAAGGTCTGGCTCAACCACAGGGTTTGAAAGTTGAAGGTGGCATTAAAATAACGAAGCTAAAATTCTTCCTCGTGTTACTGTATGGAGAATTTTGCAGACTTTTGTTTCAAACCAGAGCTACTGCTGAAAGGACCCTCGACATGACCATGCGCAGGAGGGTCCTGCCTCAAGAAAATAATGGAGATATTTGTGATATGCTGGCCCAGACACTCAAAATCTGACAATGAGACAGGTTTTTGTCTTCCCAACTCAAGGCAATGGAGGTCCTGAGCATTAATAGAAATCAAGCACAGAGAAACAGAAACCACTACCTTTATTTTTTACTTTTTATTTAACACCAATTACATTTTAAAAGCTGCTTTCCAACTGGATTGTCCTGGCATGTCCTGGGGCTGTTGCTCCCCAGGGCAAGGACTTGGCATGGCCCCTTACTGAACATCCTAAAGTCCCTCCCAGCTCCTTTCTCCAGCCTGTCCATGTCCCCCTGGATGGCAGCATGACCCTCTGGTGCATGAGCCAGCTTGGTGTCACCTGCCAGCTTGCTCAGGGTGCACCCTACTCCATCACCCATGTCATTAATTAATCAAGATGGTAAACACAATCAGACCCTCCGACTAGACTTCAATGCCACTGATCACGACCTTTTGGGCTGACCTAGTTTTCAGTCCACACTTCTGCAGCTTCGAAGCTCAAAGCCATCCACACAAACGCTAAAAAGAATTGGGTTGGGCTGTTTGGGTTTTTTCACTTATCCACTCACAGCTGAGGCATATGTTGAGCAATATTAGCTTCAAACAGCATCTGTAACAACAGCAGGTTGAGCAAGAAAAATCCAGGAGAGGACTCATTCCACTCACTGCCTTGAGAAATGGCTGAATATACCAATAATATCTCTTAGAAAAAGAACTTAACAGTGGTGATGTCTTGTGTACTTAGAAGCCATGGGGATCTTGACTCAGCTGGACACCACAATCCAGAGACGCGGGTTGGCGGGCAAACTAAGGGGTTACCTCAGATAAATGTATTAAACCCAAGTTCAGGAGCGGGTGTTTTCCCCTCCTCAGTAAAAGAGTCTGTAGGCAGGCCTTTACTTTTCCTTAACCAGGCTTTTTTGCGTGCTTTTTGCTGATCTTCTCTGAGCTTTACCTGGTGTGCCCAGTACTGAGCTGCAGGAGCTGCCTCATACTCCTCCTTCCATTTTCCCATCAGAAGCTTGAACCTGCTGTCACCCCGGGAAGGGTCTGCAGCATATGGACAAAAAGGCTTTTTTCTTCTGGAAACCGCATCAATTTGATCCGTTCTGAAGCTGTGAAGGGATCGACAAGCTGAACTCCACCTTCAGGGCGAGGGATGACGTTACCTCGACCACCGCCAGCTTCCTTTTGTCGCGGCAAACCACAAGTCTTGGGCCGCATGACAGCAGGAGCGGGGATGGAGGAGTTCACAGCAGGGCCGTGCAAAGAGTTTTTCAGCTTGAACCGCAGCATTTTGGTTTCGAAGGGCACGGAAATTCTCTTCATGGTCAGGGAATCACTGTATAAACTCACCTGCTGGAGCTGGACTGCCTGATCCTCTTTGTGTTGCAGAGCGGTTTTGGATAATCGGACCTTTTCTGGGCAGCGTTGCTGATGTTCCAGTGGGGGTTCCCACGCTTCCCTGATTTCGGCAGCACGCTCAGCCCTGGAGCTGCCCGGGGCTGCCTTGCAGGCATTCTGCAGCATGCTGACTGTCAAAAGGAACTTGTCAGGGGACAGAGGACAACTCGCACGTCTTCTCTTCATGTGCTGCCAAGCTGCTTCTGCCCTATCAGGATGTGCTGGTGCATAGAGAGGAGGGCCGTGCTCAGGCTTGCCACCTGTTTCCAAAAATAAAACACAGTTGGAATAAAACACAGTTGGAGCTGAGGGTAGTTTTTGTGATCGTTGTTGGCAGGGTAGTACTCTGCATAAGACCAGGGTGGGTGCTGGATTGACAGGCTTAGGGACAGGCCAAGTTTGTCTGTAGAACAGGCAGCGTAGGAAGCTACAAGCCAGCTGTGCCCATTTTTCAGTTTGCTCATCCTTGGCCTCACTAGGGACACTGCCAGCATCAGAGGTAACTAACTCTGTCTTGGTTGACCCAGAATTGTTCCTTACCATAGCCTGTATGGGCCAAACTAAAGTCAGACTCCGTAACACTCTCGTGTTTGTGTGGGGATGGCTTGGTATCCTCCAACTTGTTTGGAACCATGGTTTCCCAAAGGAGGGAGGGTCCCCACAACCTCTTCCCAGGCATCCCTTTCATGTCCTACAGTTTGTGCTTTGGGAAAGGGCTTCAAGACAGGTCAGCTCCTGGCAGAAATCTTTGAAGTAGCCAACACCTAGAAACAGCTTTGAGCCATTCCCACTCCAAGCTGCGTTGGAATTGGAAAGCACAAGACGTGCTTTGCTGCCTCGAGGGGTGCAGGGAGCGACCTGTGCTGCGTGACAGACACATCCGGGCGGACTGGGTGATTATGCCCTTGACGAGGAACTGGATGGGGATTATGACCCAGGCTGCACAAGACGCTCAGACCCTTGGCCTTGCCACAGTGATTCATTTGTCATTTTGCCTGGCAATGTCATACTGTCTGCGTGTCATTGCTCTGCAGTCCAATCCTGTTTTTCCAGACTGGTTCACTGGAACTTCTGCCCTCTGGAAATATATCTCAGGGAACATGAAGTTGCAGTGCGAAAAGGCAGAATATGGCACAACAAGCTAATGAAAATTACTGTTTGTTCCTTGCTCATAGAATTTAGAACTGTTTAATCTGCACATACATAGGACCCTGAGCCTTAGCTAAAACACCAAGAGTTTGGGGCTAGACTTTCAACTCTCCTGGAGTAAGGTGTCAGAGCGTATCTTAAACTTTAAGATCCCCGCAGATTTTCAATGTAAAACCTGGGAAAAACTTAAGACAAACGCCACGTGGCCACAAACCACTGTCTCATTTTCAAGTTTCAGGTCGCCACATTGTTGCTGGCTGAGACAATTCACATACAGGCTTTTTAAAAACAATTTTCTGAGTTCCAGCTACTGATTAAATACCAACTACTGGAATAAGTTTTGTGCACGATTCTCCTACACCTGTTAAAGAAATCAAAAACTAGAATGTGGATACAGTAAAAAAAACCCACCTAGATATTAGAGAACGAAGCCTCACAGCTAAACCTGAGCACTTGTCCTGTTTATTTGATTGATTTAAAGCAGCTTCTGTAGCAACCAAGTGATCGTTTTACTGCTGCAGGCCTTCCATCTAGAATGGGCCTGGCTCCTAGGGATCCTCACCTTTCATTTTGCCCACTGGATTGTTTTAGCTGTCCTTGTTAGAGGAATTACTGCCCTGCCCAGCTGCCAGGAGCCCTTACCAGCAGCTGTGGGGATCCTCGCAGACCTTGCTCTCACTGACTCGCCCCATGCGAAGGTGTGGGGTTGTGCTGCGCCAGGAGGGAAAAACTCTTTCTGCTGCTCTGCCTGAGTGAGAAAAGGCGTTTCCATCCGGAGAAAATGCTGCTGTTGCTGGCAAGCTGCTGACTGCATCAGTTCACGGCACAGAGCTGGAAAACAGAAGGAAGAGTCATCTCTGAACTTCGCCAATCTTCAGTTTTATTAAATAAAAATCTTCATGATTGACAGGATTTCAAGTCCTTGGTTGCTGTTTTACCTCTTATCGCTAAAGTTTTTGGTATTAAAAATAATCCAAAAGTGTTTGATTAGCAGAAAACAGAATTCAAAGGTGCAAGGAAATACTGATTTTTTTTTGAGTAGATGTGTACACAAACCACACTTCCCCCCCACTACAAATATATTGCATTCTCTATTTATTTCCTGCTTCTGCAAACCCTAGACATTTTACCAAGGAGAGCTGCATCAAGAAGGTTAGCATCTGGTGACCTTAAAAGCATAAAAAACTTCCTTAGCCCATCAGTTTCTCTGCAATATACAGTTTGATTGCTGAGCTGGAAGATTTGCAATACACACGGTATTTAATAACTGCTGATTTTTTTTTAAAAAAACAACTAACATCACAATGTTACAATTTAATAGGTGCCTGTTTATGTGCAGCTGCATTTCCCAGCAATGCCAGATCCTGAATGGAGGTGTCCTACGACTTTCTAGAGTATTTTCTAATAAATAATTCAAGCACTGAATCAGCAGCATGTTTCCGTGCATGCCAGCTGTAAGAATATGAGTAATACTACTGATTTCTCTATTAGTCAGAAAGCAACAGTGCCTGTCTTGACAAGCACATTGAATTTATACCAAACCTTTCTAAAGAGGCTTTACACAAGCCTGGAAATGACGGAACTATTGAAGAGCAACAGCACATCTACCAGATTGCGCTTTTATAAAAAAAAGCGGAGAGGCTGCGTGTTCATTCAGATGAAGGCACTGGGTACTTAAAAGCTCTAACTCATTTCAGAAAAAAAATTTCCAGTGTGTTGTATGTAATACCTGGAGATGTTCCACAGCTTTTCGGTGAGCAGCGGCAGGTCCAGCAGGGCAGCTCCAGCTGGTCAGCATCTTGCACCTCCCGAGCGAGTCGACAGGGGTGAAGCTCTGCTCTTCTGCAAGTCCTCTTGCACCAGTTTTTCTTCCCCATCATCTCTCTGTCAGCACCTAAGGTATAGTCCCACTTGATCTCCTCGAACTGGAACATCAACAGAGTAGTTGGTGAATTGACCACCATCCTGGAGAAGGAAGGAAGAAAAAGCCATTAAAAAGATCATTAACACACTTACTACCTAACAGGGCCACTGCATTGCGCAACACAAAATCCAAGGGCACTTAAAACAGATCCGAGATAATCAGCACTTGTTGGGGGAAGCAGCCACAATTAGTCCCATCAATCAGTTGCTTTAACTCATTGTAACTCACACTCCACAGGAGCTCCGTGGGCCTCTTCTCGTTCAGCTCCATGCCAAAATTAGCTTTAAAGTAATTTGGATGACCATCACCAACAGTGGCCTGAGCCAGGCCAGTGCAATGCCACAAGTAAGTGGAGATACCGTATTATCAGGGACATTTTTCTCCCTCCCTGGAAGTGTCCAAGGCCAGGTCGGATGAGGCTTTGAGCAACCCAGTCTGGTGGGAGGTGTCCCTGCCCACGGCAGGGGGGCTGGCACTGGGTCATCTTTAAGGTCTCTTCTACAACACAAACTATTCTATGACTCAAACATAAATTGGAGGGGTGTACTGGGTCTAGCTGGGATAAAGTCAGCTTTGTTCAGAGCAGCCCCAACATTGCTGTGGTTTAGAGTTGTCAATAAACAGTAGAGCCCTTTAAAACTTGTGAGAAGGACAGTAGAAAGAAAAATATGCAGTTCCCTAAATTACAATGTAATCCACCAATTCGGTTCAAAGAGTGATGGCAGCTGTTGTCACTGACCTGTTTCCTGCAACATAGAAAGAAGATATGGGGTTCCCACTGCTACTGGCCAGCAGCACTCTCAGGCAGCTTCCAGTTAAGAAGTTAAATATCCGAATCTTGCCGTCAGCACAGCCGCTGATGACTCTGAGACAGAGGAACTCCAGAGACAGAACTTTCCTGAAAACACAAAACCCAAGTGTTGGGACATTCACAAGGAGACATGATGAACTACCTCTCTTGTCATGGAGGAGCTGCAAGGGTCTGTCTCCATCACCGGCCTAAAGAGAAGAGCTGATGAAGACCGTTAAAAGGTCTAATAACAAAGTCCTTGATAATCACTCCACGTCCAAACCAACCCACCCAGTGCATCCTCATAGCAACCATACTGGTTATGGCCATCTGCTGCATTTTAAATTTCCTTTCTATGTCTAGGAAAGTTAAGCGAAAACAGCACAATACTAGAGGTTTCACAGTTCTAATATACAGACAAAGCATTAGAAAATGGCACAACATACATCTGGTAGGGTTGAGCATTAACCCATCCACCACCAGCGTAGGACAGAGTCCATAGAGTTATAGTGCAATACCCTCTTGCACACAGGTTGGGATGGGATCCTTGAAATATTGGACTCTGTACTGTCAGTCCTAAGTCATCTCTCTTTGTGAACCGGTGGTTGTGTATTTGCATTTCAGGTGTTATAAGTCTTAACCGACAAACGCTGGTTGTGACCATGTAGTGCCTGACACTGTTTATAAGATGAATATTGTTGAAAGTGAGGATATTTCAAATAGTAGGACTGATAACAAAGGCACTTTTTTTGTTTCTATAAGAGAGACATGTTTCTATACAGATTTAGTAGTGCTGAACACAACTTGAAACACATCCAATTCCTACTTAGGGTGATGGAAAGCTATCAGGCATCTCTTAAGGTTTCCCAACATGCTCCATGCCAGGACATATCCATCGGTGCTTCCCGTGACTAGGTGCCACCGATCAAAACACAAGCACTTCACTGGGCCTTGGTGCCCTTCAAGTATCTGCAAAGTAAAAGAAATAGGTGTGGTACTGTCAGTAATCTGGATGCAAACATGCTAAGATACCTTACAGCGTTCACAGTGCCAGCTTTATATACCATAGTGCAGTTTTATTCAGTGTTATAAGATGCCATTACACTCTGTGGATAGCTGTAGTAATTTTACAGTCACCAAAAAGAAATATTCTGGCCTTGTTGCTGATGGGGAGCTACTTTCTTGGAATTAACATCCATTTTCCATCTTGTGCCAAGCAGATATTACTGCATCGAGACCTTTATAATCTACTGAGTGTTTTCCCAGGAACAGAGCAGACTGCCCTGACTGTGGTGGAAGGGACAACCGCAAGCTCAGCTGGAGCTGGGATGTCTTATGCCGGAGATGCATCTCAATTTGCACACATTAAATTCAATTTCCCCACAGGTAGGAAAAGCTTCACTCAGAGATGTGGACTAATGCCAGTTCTGGACACCTGGCTGAGGGAATTAGCAGGCTCTGGCCTCAACCTTTACATTGCAGAGCAGCTACCCAGCAGCTTCAGCTTCATCAAGAGCAAGTTTCACATTTTGGGTTAACCCACGATACCTTCAACCCCAAGGGCTGTTAGTCGAGCCCTCCCACCCTCTTCTCAGGTTCTGACCATTTCTACAGGAGTGGACATGAATGTATCTACTGAGGACAAGTAATGATGGGGGTTCAGCAAGGCAAATCAAACCCTAGGTTAAAACTGATGGTCATTTTCAAATCAGTTTTTATATTATTTGCTTACAAGTAATTCTGCAGTTTTGTCAGTTTAAACTGCTTCTGTCTTGGGGGCATGAGTTTTTATTTTTAGAAAGCCTGCAGCGAAAGCAAAAGTCTACGATGACCTAACACAGATGGTTTTTGACCATTTAGCACAACATCATCCACCTAAGAAAAACCATCTTACTTTGACCAGGGTGCCTGTCGCAGCACACCAGATTTTCACCAGCCCTTGGTCAGACCCGCTGACGACGTGGGTGCCGTTCATTTTAACAGTCTGAACAACACCACGGTGCTTCAGTGTCTTGAGACATTTCCCACTTACCAGGTTCCACACTGTTAGGGTCAAAGGGCAGAAAAATTTAAAATACATACACTGACAACGATACGTTTTGCTGCACACAACACAAATTAAAAGTTACTGTTGGAGTTACAGTTACACCTTGTAACTGCGGCTCTGCACAGCAAAAATTTTAAATGCACAGTCCAGAAAATAGCACATCCTTTTCACTTTCATTCTATAAGCTAATAATAAGGAAAACTCCAGCAAAACTGACAGCTGGTGCCACTTTCCAAAAAGCTGGTCCAGCCCAATAGCCACAAAGCCATTAAAACTGAATAAAAGCAGAAATAACGAGAATGTATTCAATGACATGGGGATCTTGCACTTGTGTGTGTCCACAGCTTAGGCTGTTTGGAAATAAAAATGAGACACTAAAATTTACCCTCTGACTTATTCTCACACTCATACACAGTGTGTGTTACTCTCATCACTGCAGTTTGCCTGCGGCTGGGAAACTCCTGGTCCTGGCTCTCACCTTTCACCAGCCCATCTCTGCCTCCCGACACAAACTGCTCTTTGTGTAAATCCAAGCAGGTGATTGTCCCACAGTGACCGTTAAAGATTTTCACACAAGCACCACTGTGTATATCCCAGCATCTACAAAGGACAAATCAGAAAGGGAATAGTGATTAAAATAATTGATGGCTTAGTCATTTTATTCGTTATTTCCTGCTTAATGGTCTCAGCTCTTCTTCTGTACGCACAAGGTTAAAATCAGGAGTCATTTCACCAAGGTGTCAGAGGATTTGGAATGATCAAGCCAGGCTTAGTACTAAGTTCTTACCCACATACTTCGTTCTGCCTCCAAACCACCTGGATCACCTCCTGCCCTGGCACAGGGCGCAGTGCCTGGTACAGCGGGTGCCAGGGTGCTGAGCCTGCTCAGCGCAATGTCACGGAGAAGCCCATCCTCCCTGAACTTGACATTTGTAAGGGCAAAACATTACTGCAAGCACTTATTTGAAAACCATCTGGTGTCTTAAGGTACTTTAGGAAAACTTTTGCATCACTGCATCTTACTGATTTATCACTCGGCACTGGGTGAAACTGGGAGACAGTAGCTGTCCTGTGGGAGTGGGCTATATGTTCCCTTGACTACTGCCCTTTCTTCATTACTCTAGTGAAAAATGATGGAAGGAGGATTCCTAAAGGTTGCAGTGGAAAGATTAAAGTCTCATTTCTCCTAGGCTGGCCAAGGGGCACTAGTCCCAGCATCGCTCACCTGATGCTGAGATCAAAGCTTCCACTGAGAACGAACCCTCTCTTCTCATCCAGGAAGAGTGCTTTGACGCTCCCAGCATGGCCAGAAAGCAGGAGGGGCATTTCTTTCATTCTTGACATATCAAGGAGCCTCACGTTGTGGTCTACAGAGCCAATGGCTACCAAGTTTCCACCACTGTAATGGACTTTTCTGCTTCGGTCTGACCTGGGTAGAAACAGACCCCGAGATGATCTTTAGCCAGTGAACAAGGTGTAACAGGTCTAAGACTGTGACAGGCATTTCTTTGATGCTTAATGGTCCTCACTGAGCCGGTGAATCCTCAGGAGGGCACTACAGCAAAGGTCCCCAGTTCTGCATATTCAGGTTTGTATTTGGAGAGTAAGCCTAAAAAGAGAAAGTGGCTCCTCCCAGCCCCATGTCCATCACGATATGTGGTGTATCACTAACCTTTGTGTCTTCAGAAATAGCTTATCTTCGCATCTTTATAAAAACAAATGAATTTGTCACTGAGCATTTCTCAACACGATGCTGGAGAGACCTTTCTCCAGCATCGGGCATTCTCACAGAAGGACTGCAGGGAACGGGACAGCATCTCAGAAGCTGCTGTTTGGTCCTACAGCTGGGCAGTCTACTCACTGGTCCATGAGGATATGAATATTGTAGGACCCACAGAAGACATTTCTCTCTTCCAGCAGGATTGTGTTGGTTTTCAGACCATGATAGGCTGCCTGCAAGTTGTTTCCCTCTTCCTAATGGAATGAAAAATAGGGAAAAGTAATTTGAGGAAGGAAGAATACAGTGTGATTCCATAATATTAAACATATTGGCTTGATCCCCACCACAGTGATGAGATCAACAGAGACAAGAAAGGGGTGGTAAGGAACATCCAGAGTGCAGGAACTTCCAGGAGCAAGGTTCCTTTCCCACGCCATATTCCATGGCAAAAGTGGAAGATCTGACAGCTGCACCCTTTTTTTGGGAGGAGGAAGGCTGTGTCAGTGCAGTGCTGCCCAGCCTTGCCTGCACCCTTGTCCTCAAGGCCATGCATGTGACTCGGGGACAAGGCAGGGGTTCGTGAATGCAGCCCCTGCACCATGCAAGAGGGTGCTGGGCAAGCGCTGCTCCTTACGAATTGCTCCCCATGGTGCGAGCCAAAAGCAGGAGAGCAGTGTCTCCCTTTTCACCATCCTGTCTCCCAAGACCACCACGTCCTCCTCCCTCCCCAAATACAGAAATGCTGGATGCATGGAAGGCAAAAATCTTCCAACATACCTTCTTGTTACCTTGCCATTTGTGGCTCTGCTCTTCGACGACATCACCCTCCTCATTTAACTGTGGAATTGTCACATCCACTGTTTTGGCGTAGTTCACAACGACCCCTCTAGGGCACAACTCCTGGAAAACACCAGCAGAGGCACCGTGGTCGCGGCAGAGCCCAGGCAGAACAAGGATGCTGCTCAGGTGCTGATGCTTCAGCCTCTCCCCGGGATGCTGAGTTTACGTGCAAAGCAGAGCTGCACACCCTGGCTTGTAGTTTAAGACACCTGGCTTCCATTTATCACTTGTTCATGAGAAGTTAAATCTTATACTGTGTCTTGGGTTACAATATGTAACCA